TGGAGTCAGAAATGATTTGCACTGAGACAGATGCAAGCCTTAAAACTAAGTTAAAAGACAATTGCATACTGTCAGTTAAATTTCGTTTGATGAAAAATTAACTCAACAACATTAATGTAAAGGATTTAATGAATCATCTAACTGTATACATGGCAGGTCATGATTATGTTTCGATCTAAGATCAAGCGATGCTCGTTTGTAAACCACAAAACAAAGTTGCTTTAATCTTTATTCCATTTAATGAGGTTATAAATATGTGAGGAGGAAAATACAATAAAATTAATTCATGCATACGTCTCTCTGCCTATTGTCACAAGCCGATGATGTCGTGTCATATACTAGTAACACATTCCAATTTTAGCATGTTCAATATCTGTGTTTTTATATATCTTTATTATTTTACGAAATGGAACAGAATAAAAATGTTTAACTCCCCCCTTAACCTAGTTCATGAATACCGCAAAGAAATAATTTAAAAACACAATATACGACACGGACATGTGTAGCGCTAATTCATGATTTCGCCAACAACTCCATACCCAGTAACTGCGCTAAACTTTGTACACGCCAATTTATATACACGTACAGTATTATGAACATGATTCGTAATCACTGATACATTGATATCATTTTCGATTTTTATTAAAAATTGTTATTTGATAAATAAATGCTGTTTACTCATATTATTGCTCCAAGAGGGTTTATAATTATGCATGTTCATCCTTAAATCGAATGTCCTTTGTTCACTCTCTAACAGGGGATGCTTACTCTTCCTAGGCACCTGATCCCACCTCTGGTGTTTCCAGGGGTCCGCGTTTTGTCCTGTTCATGTTTCCTTTTGTTTTATTTGATTTATGAGATTGATCACTGTTTGTTATCTTCATATTTTACACTATTCGTAATATAATTTACATTATTTGTTTATAAACTTCAGTAAAAATTGTTCATATTTATGGTTTTGGAGATTGAAAACGAAACGATCTCGCAGGTGAGTTAAGGCTAGGTATAGGCATTTCTTTAAGAAATAAGGTATCATTTTTAAACATCTATCGGTATATAAATACGGGTTGGTCACGAGATCAAATTCCATAAAGCCCGAAGGGCATTATGGTAATTTTGATCTCGTACCAACCCGTATTTATATCCCGATAGATGTTTAAAAATGATACCTTATTACTCATATTAACATTTGTGACTTATTTATATTTTATATTTGCCTAATTATAATTTTTAACGTGTGAAGTGTTTTATTTTTCAATCTCAACGACACGTGTTTAATCCATTGATTGCTCGTCGACCCTTTATGACGTCACTGAGAAATTACGTCGAACGTTTATGACCTGAGGAACCCGTGTTTATACGGATATAGATACACATTGCTTTCAATAGTGTTATATAAAGGAATTCAAGCATTTGCAAATGTAAATATTTGCAAATAAACTATTTAAAATGCCTAAGGTCGATATCTATTATACAGAGAAAGTTAAAACTTATTGTCTAGGATGCATACTTGGTACTCACGACATAAAATAGCCAGTGCACATTATGACGTCAAATTATGACGTTATTGTTCCTTACTACACAAGATTATAATGGACATCAGCAAAAATGGTTCTGCACAAGGACATGCTCCATTTTATTTTACTGAAACAAGGTATATTTAGAAGCAAAATATTCCAAAGTTTGTTTGTATTGCTGCACAAATATCAACAGCTCAGTTGAACAATTTCTATTTGTAAAGTTTTAAGTTGAATAAGGGTAAAAATGTACAGTCCGGTATAAGTTTCCTCAAATTCCGATCAAATGAAAAAATGCCTAAGACTTGTGCAGCAGTTTTATTAATGTATAGAATATTTTTCTAAGAATTATACAATTTTTATGTAAAAATAAATAGGGTAATCCCTTGCGCCGAAGCTGTTTTGTTGATGTGTTTTATTACGTCCAGTATGTAAGATCAGTGACGTCATAATATATACTGGCTATACTGGCTACATATCGTGGGTACTAAGTATAAGAAAATAAATCAAAACTTTCTCTGAAAATTAAATATACCTCTTATGCGTTTTTATAAGCTCATTTGCATAGAAACGCCTATACCTAGCCTTAACTCACATGTGCTCTGGATTGCTTTTGGCTGTTTAATTGAATTGGGATAAAATGAGAAAAATGTTTAATGAAATACTTTTTTTAAAATTCCACTCCCATTTTTTTGATTGAATCTATTGGAATCTAAATTTGGATTTAATATAACATGCTTACCTGTCAACAATTCCCTACCGCAGAGCGTTTGAGCTCTCATTCAGCATTACCGATGTTTATTACTTCCATGTTAGAAAAATCAAACGTTTTTCTCCTCTACGTAACAAAGCTCTTAGAAAAACGATTTTGTGCTTGATTTCAACACTGGTCCATCATTTATGCAAATCAAATTGCTGTGCCAAGAAAATTTCACAAACAGCCGTTTTTAATGAACATGTTTGAAGCACCTTCCCTCAATCTACTCAGAAACAAAGTTTAATAAAATATCGTTTTATAAATGGAGCGTAAAATTGCTCTATTAGAGTGTATTTATGCAATAAATATACAGCATTCAAGTGTAATCGGTTTATTCTTTCATTTTACCCCCCATACAGAAACATGATTCAGATTTTATTAATAAGATTTGCATTACATTTCAATTTGTACGCGGGTGTTGCTTAAAATTGATCATATATATATATATATATATATATATATATATATATATATATATATATATATATATATATATATATATATATATATATATATATATATATATATATATATGCAGGGATAATGCAACTACACATGTTGCGAATGTTCCATTGCAGCTGAGATAGTTTTCATCAGATAAGGTTGCTTGATAAAGATGTATAATAAACTAAAAGATTTCTTTTTTTTTAACAAAAGAATGTCATGAGCACCAAAATCTGATAGAATTTTTTAATTTGATGGCAAATTTTCTTAAGAAAAATATGTATATTTAATGCTACAATTTCTGACATTCTCAGCAATCCTACTAATCTCTGCTTCCACGAATTGCTGTAAATATGTAAACGTGAATATGTACCTCTTGTACCTTCAACATTGTTTTTGTGAGAGAAAAAATAAATCTGTTAATTAATAAATAGTTCGGACTCCAATCTCTATTGAACTATCAATGAATCTTTACATAAATGAAAGTATCATTTCTATTCTTTAAATGTATTAAAAAAATTTAAAGAACTCAGAAAAAAAATTGATAAATATATAATAATAAGGTCGCCTTTCGTTGCTGAGGTTTTTAGGGCAACATTGCGACAGCTGCCCCTTGCCACGTCAGATGGTTAGTCAGGTTAATCTAAATAAACTTACAGCAAAATGATCGCTGAAACGTTTTCTTTTTTAATGTTTTAACAAAGACTTAATAAAAAAAAGTTTGCGTTGGAGACACAACGATTTAAATGAGTCATAAAATAACTGGTCTCGTTATTGTTCATTTATTTTTATAATTAGTTGGACAAGGTCTTTAAAAATTCTTGTAATTTAGGCCCAATTAACCTCACTGTTTGAATCTAAGGCACTGGATAAATTATGGTATAAAGGTATCCGATGTTCAAACTTAAAATCTGTATTCAAATGATTAGTGAAATTATATAAAGACATTTAAAATGTAGAATTAAAAAAAAAGACATTTTTCGATTAAAAAATGCCTGGGATATCGTCAGCGATTACAATGATTTGTAAATATATATTCAAATACATGTATTATACAGTGATTTTTTTTTTTCTTTATTTCTTTAAAAAAAACTAAATCTCTAGCGTTATTAGATAAATTTTTGGACGAATTTGATAGTTTTATTATTCCAGTATTGCTCTTGAAATATTTCATTAATCTAAAAAAGACACTGCAACGTTCTTCTTGCATTCGTCATTGAGGACAAAATATAGTAATTAGCGTTCCTCAGCAGCTTTCATTATTGTCAACTCGGGGTTAATTGTGGACTTCTTTTGTTAAATGAAAGTAAACGAAATTTAAAGCATTACAACAAGAAACAGATAATTACGCTGTTAAAAAATTTAATTGGACAGAATTTTACTTTGCTGTGTTTGTCTGACAACACTGTCTGACAACATTGTCCTTGGTGCATAATTAGAAAAGAATCTTAAAATAAGAAACAAAGACATCAATGATATAGCTACTAGTCTTTCTTCATTTTGTTAATAAAAGCTTTAAATAAATGGAGAAAAGGCCCTGTTTTAAATTCATTTTGCTAAATAATTACCCAAAATTGTTCCATTTAAATTTTTTTCAACAATACTTATTTCAGTATTTTTGTCATGAAAACACTTTCAATTTGCTTCAAATTGTTCTGTATATGTAATTATGCAAGAATGTTTTTATTCTGTGTTCAATATTCTTTTTGAAAACAAATGCATTGTTATTTTTCAAAAAACAATTCTCTTTTCACCTGAAAGAGATCGAATATTTTTTATCCACCTCAAAAAATTAAGACAACTTACACAAAAAATGTTACGAAGCGATTTGTATTATTCACTAATTAGCAACTTACACTCTGTCTGATTTCAACAATTGGGAAATTGGAAACCTAAGATTCTCGTGAATAATGTATTGAATCACAGATGAAGTATGAAATTGAAGATAAAAATACCAGTCTATTCAAATTTACAAAGAAATTGCATAGACATCTCTTGATTCTAAAAGCACATTTGTCTATGTGAAATCCCATGTGAACTGATCTCATTCTAAAGAAACGAAGCTTTCGTTATAACCTGTAGAAATAGAAATATTTACTGCCAACTAAGACCAGATCGCCATCTTTCAGAAGAAAATCAATACTTCGTTATAATAAGCTGTTGCGAGGACACGCCCTCATTTATATCACATGTTCCCACCCACATCTTTTATTGGACACGAAATGGATACCAAGGATATTACAGGCATGCTGAGAGGGATTTGTTTTCAAAAGTGATTATATGTTGACGATTTGCACACCTAGAAAATCATTTAACAGATAATCCCGTGTTTATGGTTCTATCGTTTTGACTTGCCGAATAATGAAGTGTTTTTGATGTTTGTTAATATAATATGAAACTTTTGATGACAACATTGTGTTTTTATAATTAAAGAAGAATATAATAAGACAATGGAGGATTCTACAAAAAGTGTTAAACTTGAAACATCTAAAGACGAAACAGCTACAGCGGAAGAAAGACTATTTTGTAGTGACAGACTAGAAGAGGAAATTTCTTCGAAAACTTCTACTAAAAATGAGACAGAAACAATCAAAACTGGAAGCAGTTCGAGAAATGAAAATCTGACGTCCCCTGTGATAAATCGAGCAAAGTCCTCTTTCCTTATCACAGATATTTTATCATCAGACAGGACAAGGATACCATCAGGGAGAGATGACAGTGCAATGATCAGCGACGATAGCGCACAGCAAAGACTAGGGGTGTACGCTCAAGTTAGTCGTACCCCTTTTAATACAGAATCTTTTGATGAACTTGTTAAGCGAAAGTACGGTATTAAAAGATCTTACGAAGACACAGATTTAGCGTCCGATCCTTCCTCACCTGTATCTCAAACCGAACGTAAGAATTTAAGTCGATTTGGGCTGTTTTATGTGTGTGTGTGCGAGGGATATAGAATGAGAGGAAAATTTTGTTTTGAAATTGTTGCTTAAAATGCAGTATATTTTTTTAATCATTTATGAAAATGATTTTTTTTTTGAATGGCTTTATTTTCGTATATATAACTAAATATTTTATTTTTATTTATTTTTTTTTTATTCTTTTCTGTACTTGTAAGAGACTGGAGAATATAGCGTTTAGACTTTACTTTAAATATTTGTTCTAATTTTTGCAGCTGAAAATTATCCTATAAACCATCTGTTTTAAATATTTAAATTCACCATGCTTAAAAACAATAAGTTTAATTGGTGCATAAGCTATATGATGACGATTTCTCGTGTTTTGTTCTTTTCCTTTCAATGGAATATATAATATTACTTCCTCGTGCATTTTTTCCGAAACATAAAACATCCTGAACTTAAAATAAGCAGACAGAAAATATTAAATTTCCTATGATGGCCACTATACGACACAAACCTGTATTTTCTATTATTGATGAAGATAAATGGATTGGGATAAATTACCATATTGCTCATTTGTGAAAAATATTATACACTAAACAGTCCCTGGAGCGCAGTTTTTCTTTAGTAGTTTTAGACAGCATTTAGCGGGGATGAATAATTAAACACAAGAACTAACACCTTTACGATCTCTCTAGACGTTAAACGCGCTTAATGGCCGAAATAAAGGAAATACGATAAGTGGATCGTATGTTAGCGAATAGTCCCGTTAAAAGGTCTTATTTTAATTATTCAGAAGGTGCCTCTAAACCAGAGGGTCAAATACGAGATTTTTATACCCAACACATCTATGGTTAATGTATACCGAAATAACAGGATCTTTGTTTCTCTTTCAATTTATATACCAGTTGTATGATTTATTACAATTTAATGAAATGTCGTTTTTCTATTATAAATACAAAAAGATATTTTGTATTATAAACGGTATAATCATGCCGTTTATTATTCATTAAAGATTCAAATTAACATCAATAAATTTAAAATAAAAAGTAGAATTCAATTGATTTTTTTTCTTCACATTTTTGACCTGCTAAATACGATTTCGAGTGACATTTGCATCGAACAGCTGAATAGGAAACACTTCCCGAGGCATTCTTCAAGCATGTAACTGTCAATTTAAGTCTGTTGTGAAAATTTCAGTCTATTATGATAAAATGGTGAAACATTCACTCACAAAGAACTTTCTGATGTATAAATATTTTATAGATTTGTTTCTGAAAATGCATTTTAAATTAATAATCATTCTTGTTTGATGATATTCTTCAAGGGAAAAAAAGAAAGCCAATTATTTTGTTTGAAAAAACTTACTTTTCCAAGCTAATTTAAAATATAAATGAAAATTCATTAATTTTTCTATAAAATTACAAAAAAGTTTTTGAAATGATTTTCTTAATTCAAACATTTTTTTTTTACAATTATTTTGAGAGTTCAGGTTTTTGTTTAAAAAATGTAATAAATATCAATAAATCACTATTATTTTTAAATACTCCTTTTACACTACATTTTTTTTTTCTAAAATTTGTAACATATCTTTACTTTAATTCAGAGTGTGAAAATCTAGATGAAGAAGATATCGAAACTGCCGGTTGCTCCAAGCACAAGAAGCCCAGAAAAGCGAGAACAGCTTTCACAGATCATCAACTCAATTGTTTAGAAAAGAGCTTTGAGCGACAGAAATATTTAAGTGTCCAAGACAGGATGGAGCTAGCAGCTAAACTAAACTTAACAGACACACAAGTAAAGACATGGTATCAGAATAGAAGGTAGGAATATTCTCATGTAATTTACATGTATAGTTCAAGAAAACCACTCGATAACTTATTTAAATATATACTAGTCATATTTTGCCTGCTGTAAGGAAAATTATAGCTTTATCAAATTGAACACAACCCCTGCAAGACTCCAGCTGGGTGAAAAAAAATTAGAAAGGGGAAAAAAGAAGGAAAGGATTAAATCCAAAATGGAAAAAAAAATATTGCGCATCCCTTTTGTTAATAAATTTATTGTTTTGAAATACAAAGCTTTATTCTAAAATTTAGAACAAATGTCGGGAATGCATGTTAGAAATTTGAGAGGGTCATTGTCATGCTCCTATTTATTCTGTCCCACACGCTCTCTGGTTTGTTTAGAGTTTGCTTGTATTAACAAATTAGCCGTATTAAAATAAATCGGAAATCATGGTAATGACAGAAAGAGAATCGGCGCATCTTAATTGTGCATTTCATACGCACCATCGCTCGTGTTACGGAAGGCGCCCAATCGAAATGACAATGGTAAATTACTAGGGAATTAAAGATGGTCTTCACGCAGGCAGGCTTTCTCCCCTTCGGCAGCATTTGCATTGGGAAATTTGCAAAACTGTTTACCACTTAATCTAATCTTGTCACATAGCCATTATTTGATGTGTTAAGTGAAACACATGGAGATTAGTGTCTCATTTGCAATCCCTCTTTTTCTCTGAGTATGAATATAAACTGATTTTTGAAAAGTTGTGTTGGAGTTTTTGATAAATAACCCTTTTGAAATAAATTTTCAATAAAAATAACAGGAAAAGTTTATGCATAAATTAAATTTTTCATCAATACAGAAAAGATCTACATGTATGTTTAATGGTTTTCCTACATTATTTTCAGGACGAAGTGGAAGCGCCAAACGGCAGTTGGTCTGGAACTTCTTGCAGAGGCCGGAAATTATACTGCTTTTCAACGAATGATGCATTCTAGCACATACTGGTCCCCATATCACCAGCAAACGGCCAGAATTCTGTCCTCTATTGATCCATATTACTTCCGCTCAGCCACAACATCACTTCCGTCTGCGCAGAATCCCCTTTTGACACGGATGTTTGGACTACAATCGTCCCTTGGAAATTTACCCTCATAGAGTTTTTTAACTTTAAAAAAAAAGCCGAGAGGAATATTGGTATTTTACATTTTCACAACGACCTGTACAATTCTGTACATTAAATGTATATAGATAATTAATTTACTGTATATAGATTGCATATTTAAATGTGACTCTTGCTATTTATTTTACTTTATGTAGATGATAAATATCTATTAAATGATTTTGAGCTAAATTACAGAACTATTTATTTCTTTTAGCAGCAGTACATTTGCTGTAAGTGAGATTGTGATTTCTTTTTTTTAAAAAAAAATTCTTTTCTGAAGTTTTTAGCTATACAAATATAAAGTTTAACTTTTTCAATGCATCTAACCTATTACCTGTAAATACATACCTTTAGACGGTTTGTCTCTTGTAAAGCAACAGAATCTTTTCTTTGTAAAACAATAGCCTAAACTTAGCAAATACAATTACTGAAACTATTTTAAAAAATTATTTTATTTATTGAATTTCCGAGAAAATGATTTGCGATGTCTCTCCACCACAGGCAAGGATGAGAAATAATGAATTAACATTTAACATATTTTAAGATGTTGAACATTTTTTTAATATATTCATATTACACAAGATCTTAAAAATTAAAGAAAGCATGTTATAAAGTCCTATCTTTGGAATTAAAAGAAATAAAAATATCCTGTTTCTTTTAAATTTGACTCAGGTTTAAACTGTCTACATATCACGATTAAAGAACAAACAATGACCGATTCTTCTTTGCTATTACGTTGTGGCATTAAAGCACCCTAAAAATTTGCATATTTCTATCGTGATTTTTGAAATGCTAAAAATAATATGCATATGCAATAACATTTCAGATTTTTTAAGGAACAAAAATAGAAGATATTTTCCAAAAATAATAAAGCATGTAGTTTGCGTTCCATATATTTTTTATAGTTCATAAAATTAATGTTGATATAAAAACATAGTATCTTTTCTTCCTGGAAAACCAAAAAAAGAAATATATATATATATATATATATATATATATATATATATATATATATATATATATATATATATATATATATATATATATATATATATATATATATATATAAGTTATTATTATATAAACGTTTAGAAGTTTACCGAATTTTACAGGATCTATATCATCGGTTTGAAATGCAGTTTAACTTTTCTCAACAACTCCTAACAGGGTCTGAAGCAAAGAGATACACTTTAAGTAATCATTCATTTAAAATTTGTAACTTCTAAGATTTAATAGATCTTGTCTCCTTTTTTCAAAACCAGATTGAATTATTGTTCTTTTAGAGACAGACACGTCTTGAATGCCAGAAAGACAATGAATAATAAAGTACTATTTCCTGACTAAATGTCCATGGAGATCTTGTTTATCGTCTCTTTTTAATTGCATATGTATCCTCATGAATAACTATTTTTCCAACTCAAAAAACAATCGGTTAATAGAAAACATTAAATTTTGAATTATTTACCTAGGTCTTTTATCCAATTTCAGGCTTGCTTATTTCAAAGGTAGTATAGCTTTCTTTTTATAAGCTCTTATTAACAGAGGTAATAATTCAATTGTAAAAAGAATTCCAATAGCGACTAGCGAGAACTAATTTCCGTGCTGTGTCATTTTACTGAATAAACTCTCCTACAAATATCTAAAGATTTATTTTAACAATATTCTTCAGATGCAATGTTTCATAAATAAAGAAAAATAGGGATTTGCTATTGATGCCGTAGCATTAATCGTCAATCGTTTGCTTTCATGACTTTTATTTTTTTTTGGATCCAAAAGAACGGTTACCTAAGATTATATACAGTAAAACATGCTTATAGCGAACACGTTTATAATGAATTGGCGCTTACAGTTAAGTGATTTTCATTCCCCATGACTTTAAAATATTATACAATTATACACTCTTTCGGTGGTGAATTTGGTTTGTTATTCACCAGAAAAATATCAATATTGACCGAGTCGAAGTGTATTTCTGGTGAATAAAAAAATAACAAACCGTATTTACCATTGAAAGAGTCCTTAATTGTTTTATTATATAGTCAAGATTGGAATGAATAAGACAATGAAGACTGCAAGACGATTTCGTTTTCATTAACGAACTTATGTCGTAGAAAAAAAAAATAAATAAAATGTCCAGATTACAACTTATAACTTCCTTTTTTTCCCTTTCCCTCTGTGTTAGACATCGAAATGTTTGGAAAGAAATCCTGATATAGACTTGCCTTACAATTTTTCTGCTCAGATATACAACTTGCTCCGGCCATATTTTTTTTACAAAGCTAAACTGAATATTTATCAAGTTACGAAACTTCTGGTTCTAAAAAGCCCACGCAAAAAATTATTTTGTAATCTGGTTGGTGATGCGTTAAACCCTAAAGATAATGGATTACGTACAGGTATTGATATTTTCTGATAAATGTCATCCGAAGAAATTGTTCGTCTCTACAGCTACAAATATATGTGTAGAACAGGAAGCGTTCCATTGGTACTTAAACTTTTGTTTGTTTGTTTATTTATTTAATTGGTTGTTTAACGTCCTTTTGAGAATTTTTCACTCATATTGAAACGCCATTACTTGCCGAGGAAGGATTGCAAAGGATGACTGCACTTAAGGACATGCGAAAATTGCGACAAAATAAACTTTCAAAACAAGCATTTTTCTTTTCATTGCAAGAATGGCCAACATCCAATCTGCAACTTTATGTAATTACGTTTAATAAAAGTGTGTATTTACGAAGTTCGAATCTGTTTTCAAAGGCAGGGGTCATCACAATTTCTTGAATCTCCGTACGATAATGAGGACGCCCACTTTTTTACTGACTTTATACATAGTCAGCGCATGTTTGTCTATTGTTCTCCGTTTCACAGCAGTTGTATATTTGCATAAATAATAATGTGTCAAAAGGAGATTAATAGACAAACATGCGCTCATGGTTAAAAAGAGAAAAAAACTGCTTCTTCTTACATTCGCTCTCTGTGTTGTAACCAAGGATTGTGACATGTTGAATATTATAATTAACCGCGTGATGTCCTACCTCAGGTAACTTTGTGAATACTAAATTCCGTCACGTGACTTGTAAGGTAGCATGTTTTGTGCTAACTAGGACATTGTGTTCGAGCACGTTAAGTCATCTGGCATGGATATACAATGCTTTAATTACATTGACGTGCTCATATTGTTAATTTCGTTTTGAAACCTTTGTCAGAAGTCTATTTGTGCCATATGGAATGGAGAGGGAGATTGGAAAGAGTGATCACGTTCTTTTTTCAAACATGTCATTGTTATTTATCAAGTCTAATTTTAGACCCATATTTACAATGTTAGCTCCACCTCTCATGCATATCTAATGTTCAATCAAGGGCAGGTAAGTGTAAATTCACTATATTTGGAAAGCACTAAGGACAAAAAACATTGAATCATTTTATTGTATCACAGTCTAAAATCATTTTGAGATTTAAATTTGGTTCCAAATTGGCAGGATTCTTTCATAAACATACAAAAGTGAATTAAGGTTTAGATATAAAAGCAACAGAAGCAACCGAAAAAGACCCAAAAACAGGCGTTAAGTGCAGTCATCCTTTAGACTTGTACTCGGCACTTACGGCCATTGAGCAGTGTGGGATCTTTTTCGTGCCAGTACATACTGCGACATGGGACCTCGGTTTATACAGTCTCATCCGAAGGACAGGACTTCATGTCGCAAAGTGGATTTGAACCTGTAAGGATCAACTCCTTATTCCGCGAGTCTAGAGCAAACGCTATAACCACTGAGAGAAGCGGTTGAAAAACTTTCAAGGTAATTATGAAAAATTGTCAAAGAGAAACCAATTGCCATATACTTGAATAAAATAGGCTTGTAATTTTATTAAATATATATATGTAAATGTAATTTAAAGCTGATACTTTTGTTTAAAAGTTCTGTAGTTGAACGTGCAGATATACTTATTTATTTTGGTTTATTTTTGAAACATACTGATTTTAACAGCCATTAGAGAAGGCAACTAATTAATTCTAAAAATAACAAATAGGGTAGCTTAAATACAAAATCATACGCTACTGTCCTACATAATCTAAAAAATTAAAAGTAAATTATTAATTTTTATTGGCTGCGTAGTTTCCCGAGAGATACGACCGTCCTTAAAATAAATTTTATTTAATTGCCTTTTTATCTTAATTGCTATGAGTTACATTTGCTTGTTAGAAAACAATAAAATTTACACACTGCATAAATATAATTTTTAAAGGTTTTTTTCCATACTGTGCAAATATGTTAACAATATCTCCAAAGATAAAACAGCATGTATCACCAAACATACTTTACATACCATCACTAATACCTATGATAATTTGTATTCTCTGTCATACACTGCTAAATGTATTACATTGTAGATATACAATGGAATCATAAAACATAGCTTTAAGATGAATTTCTTTCACGTTTTTTTATCCTCTTCAATTTAATACGTTGTTGTCTTTTTTAAATAAATATTTCATGATATTCTATCAGATAACCCGGTATAAAGCTTATTTGTATTATCTGTTAAAAGGAAACACACATTGTTTATACTTTCTGTGAAGGTACGTATACATGTATATGTTTTTATTACTATGTTGATATAAAATCTAAAATATGTAAGTAGCCGTTTCTTCTGCTTCTTCTTGATGACATTTTTAGGTAAAATGAAGAACAACAAACCCATGTTTGTTTAATTAGATTTTCAAAATATATATGAAGCTATAGCGTCACCAATTAGATGAAACCAATTAGCTTTTTTTGTCACATTAATATATTTATTTAATTTACTTTGCAGTTGATAATACCAAATGCGGGCATATATGCACATGCTTATCTTTTCTCAAACATCTTTAATCGTCCATCATATAAAGAGTTTTACCCCCAAACTCCGGCAAGGAAACCAGTTTAACCCATTCTCTAGTTACTTATTTCCCAACACTCTTAATAATTGTAAATAGAACTTTTAAATCTTTGATTGGATACATAATATACTCCAAAGCATGGACACTGTAAAAATTTGAGATTGTGTATCATTTTAATTTTTTTTTTGTTTTTTTTTTTTTTTTTTGTTTTTTTTTTGTTTTGTTTTGTTTTGTTTTTTTTTTGTT